TTTTTTTTTTTTGTTGGTGTTGAAAAAAAAAGTGAGTTAAGTTTGGAAATTATCCTGTTGGGTCTTTTTAGTTGTTTTAGTTGTTTGAGAAGTTGATTAGTTTAGTTGTGAGTTTTCATTCTAGTGTTGCTAGTCGAAATTTTAGGCGGTTTTCTGACATGTCCTTCTACTTTTCAGCTGTAGACTGTTCTCATCTAGTTAGAAGCTACTTGTATTCGCACATTTGTGCCATTTTGATTGAAAATAGTATCTATCGTTTTGGAAAAAAAAAAAATGTATATGAGATCATAACAGATGGTGGTCAATGAATTTGATAGTGAGGCGGGTGAAACTAGCTCGAATGAGTTGAGAAATCCATAGGTTCCAAATGAATTTAATAGTGACACAAGGTGAGACTAGCTCGAATGAGTTGAGAAATCCATAGGTTCCTAGAAGTCTTCAGTATTAAAGGGTCGTCTAGTGTTTGATATTGTCCTAAAGGAATCTTTTTTCTAGTCATAGATATTCATGTACAATATGTTGATCACATTCTTGACCTACCACTCCCTATTGAACTTTAGTTTGTCATGTAGCTAAAAATTAAACCTCTGGTGGGCAGTCTAGAAGAGCTACCAACCAGTAGTAGTAGTGAGCAAAGATCGAACCCACATAGAGTGAATTAAATTGTAAACTTTCTCGTAATAATTGAATTTATAAAAAAAAACGTAAAAAGGGGGAATTGAATTAAAACTAAGATTCTAATGAATTAAATAAAATCTAAACAAATAAAATAAAAATAAAAATAAATAAAACAAGAGAACTTTCTATTTTACGGTTACGTCTACACCCTCGACTGACTCCTCTAATCAACTTTGTTATCAAATCTCGCTATCTTATGGAATTAATAGCCCTAGATAACGACACAGTCTTTACCCAAATTTTTCCTTATTTATAATTTAACCGCGAGACGCTCTGCGATTAAACTTGACTTCTTGTACAATCTAGAAAAACGTTTTTAAGATTTAATACAATTAGCCGTTTTACGAATTAGAAAAATAGGCTAGACTAAGTAGTTACGCGTTCGTTCACTTAAATAGGTTGTGTTAACCCCCAGTAGTAACCGTCTTCCTGTAGCCTCTTATGAATTAAACACGACAATAATTACGGATTGAAGGTCTAATTCAGCTGTAGATATGAAAAGCCTAATCTAGGTGATCAATCTAAACAAGACTCAACACATCATGGTTAATTATTCAAAACAACACAAACAACTTCCAAAAAGATTAAAATTATCAACCATATAAATCAATCAAACATCGTCAATCATAGGGTTCGACTTCCCTGGAACTAGAAAGAAAATCTACTCTAACATAATAAATAAAAATAAAAAGAGAAGAATATAGTTATCCTCCTCGTGTGTGGTGCGGCCTCCCTCCGCGTTTGCTGGATTCCCCGTCTCTGTCCCGCATCTTCTTTTTCCCGTGCGGCTCTTTTCTGTTCTCTGTATGGCTTTCGCGTGGCAACTTTTCTTCTCCCCCAATTACATAAATAATGTTTGTAAAGTCTCCCCTTTCCAAACCTCTTTCCAAATCTAATTAAATAATAGGTAGGATCCAAAATTAATTAAATCCTCCCAGCAACACTCCAATGCAATTGAGCTCACCATTCTGGGCCCCAACTTAAATTTCAGCAAACAACAAATCATCTCATGGCCATATTGGCGTCTCTTTCCATAGGCCCATATTTTATTATTTTCCTCTTGCCGTAATACGTTGTTGCATGGGCTGGACAGATACATGGGCCCTGCTGATCCAGTGTATCCCGTACTCTGCTGTTCAACCCCATTTTTATCCTCGTTCGTACATCCAAAATCATCGTGCATAAAAATTCTCTAATATCCTAAAAATAAATCATAAATATATCATAGTAATTAAATCCATCTAATAAATAATAAGTCGAAAATATATATATAATTGCGATAAAATTAAGCATATAAAAGTACTTTAATAAATATATAATATACACACTTTTTCCGACCTATCAAATCTCCCCAAACTGAAACTGTTGCTTGTCCTCAAGCAAATTAGAACCATAAGCACATAGATGGATATAAAAAACAAGTACGTTGAACTTTACTCAGGGCCTCACAAATCTCACATAAGTGTATAGTTCAAACAATTCAAATTAATTTATCTGGACTCAAGATGAAATCATTCTAGAAACGCAAACATATCAAGTATCAATTCAAGTGACCACCATAGTTTGTCAATCTCTATGACGAATGCACCGATCAATGCAACTAATGATACCACTCTATTTGCTAACAAGTCTAATTTCTTTCTATTTCTAACCGAAGTCTAAACGTCTCATTCTCCATTTTCTCTTTCTTTTTTTTCTTTTTTTTTCAAAGTAGAGAACGACAGCTTCATCACAACCCGCGGGTTTTAGCCTTTCGTGCTCGTCTAGATACGATAGTTATTGGATTTGTACACTAGTGCCCCCACGGATTGGCAGTTGTTGCAGCCCATGACTTTTTTTTTTTCTTTTGTGCCAAACGGCTTTTCAACTCCACCAATTATTCCTCCATCCTCATTATTCTTTTTTTTTTTCAGCTATGAGACGTAGAAACCTCAATTTTCAACTTCAAGTCCCCAAACTTAATCAACATTGGTTAAAGCAATCACAAGCACATCTCAACAATACAAATCGCTTCAAAACCCACTCACCACAAATGAATCACAAAAATATCAACCATCATGCCTTTGTCCCCAAAATAAAAACACCTTAAGAATTTAACCAAATAAAATTAACCCAAGCCATTTAAATTCGCACAATAAATCCAAACTAACTCTCATGTCATCATCGCAAAATTCCATGTACATGCAATCTCATGCTCACACACAAACAAATCAATATCATGCAATTTAATCTAAGAACTCAAACTCTAAGGGCACAAATGTAATCACATAATAAAAACATGAATGCACACCAAGAAACCACCTCCTCAAACTTAGAGTTTTCATATATCATCGACACCAATAAGTACAAAAAATAGAGATAAAAGAAACGAGTTCACCTTTGTCAATGCGAAGAAGGTCGATCGAACCACGCACACCATTGGGTTGCTTCCCAATAAACGCCTCTTTTTATTGTCGTTGGCCCGAGTTATTGCTTCTTTTCATCAAAAGATCCACGGTGGCTTCCGAGGTGGCCTCAAGGGAGCCACAAATCTCACGGCACCATGTTCGGCGAAATCCCTTCTTTCCGGCGTTGGATGCTTCACCGGATCTTTCCTCCATGACACTAATTCCTCTAGGATATGTAGCAGCCCGTGCTCAAACACGGTCACCGTCTCATTAAACTCTCACTTACACCTTTTGTTCTGCTCGATCGTCTCAAGAGGCTGGATATTAAGGCTCAAGACATGCTTCAGTGCATCCTTGCTCAGTACCCACTTCATATTGGAAGAGATAAGACAAGGTTTAGCTTCTAACGGCACAAGAGCGGGGAGAATGGTACGCTTTTTGGCTCCAGCAGGTCGAGTATGGGGTACAGCAGGCCGAGTATGGGGCACCCATGTACTGGGCTTCTTTGACTCCGTTTTCTTTATATTCTTGATTTTTTCGTTCTCCAGCTCGTATGCACCCTCTTCAGGTTCCTCGAGGTCCTCGCTGCACAAATGGGTGACGCTTGAACTCACTGGACTCGTTTCCAACCGACACACTAGTCGGTCCATTTGTTCCGCTAATTCCAATTTGGCCTTGTAAATTCATTATGCGTAGTCCTTGGTTCCTGATGCTCATCTCTTGGCTCTTGATCCTCGCCTCAACACTTTGCTGAGAGTTAAAGGTGTGAGCCGTCAACTCCATCATCATATCCTCGAGCGACGGACCAGGATCTCTCTCAACTAATGGCTCGCAGAACTCTTGTTGAAATCTCAATGTGTTAGTCGTAAATGCGTCTATCATATCCTCGAGCCATGGGCTGGGATGTCTCTCAGCTAGTGGCTCAGAGTACCCATGGAAATAGTTTAAGTGCTCTCTCAAGCGGTATCCATACTCGTCGGCATAGAAATAGTCTTGTCCGTTCCTTTGCCAACCACTATGTCCTCTTACGCCTCCAATCCACGGGCCTCGTATCTCCTTCTCATACTAGTAAGGTGCCAGGTGGGTATAAAAGTCGTGATAAAAGGCTGCCATCTCGAAAAATTTCATCAAGCTCAATCAAAAGCGCCCAAAGATTAGTCAATCCCGCGAATATGGGGGCGAAGTATTCTGTCCAGCAAAGTATGGGGTGCCCAATATTCTGCAAAGGAAACAAAAACAAAGAAAAAAGAGGGGGTAAAGCACTATTTTGTGACCCAGGACCCGCTCGACCCGGGGTAGAAATCGGTCTGGGTGAGCTATTTGGACCGGGTAACAATAGACCCGGTCAAA